CTTGGCTCGCAGTTCATCAGCTATTTGGCCGCACGGTTCAATATTGATATCATTTTCTCTGAATCTCCATTTGCTCTGCTAAGGAAGCCCATATGACAGAAGCTGGCTTGGGATCTAGATCATTCAATAGTAATTTCTCATTGAGGATTCATTTTCTGGTACATGATCCTACTGAGCTCCAATTAACAGAAGGGTTCAATGTCCTTTTGGATGATCACAAATAGCAGGCTATAATAAATCCTTTTCACTAAGTCCAGCAGCAATTTTTTCAACACAGTTCATGGTTTTTGTTCTCACGTATAGTTGGTTTGCCACGGGAGTCAATTCTGAACGGCAACATAAGAGATTTGACTTGCTCAATAGTCAGTAACCTAATTTTTTCAGTGTCTGCTCCAGAGTATTGCGCGGTCAGTTTGGAATCAGAGGCCACGTCGAAACCATTTTATTGTCTCATTCAAATTTGACCCATAGATCCAGCAGACCTCTGCATTTGTTATCACAACAACAATGTGTGTGTATTTATTGAACTCTTAACTTTTGTCAGGGTGTGGAAAGGTCTTATACATAGTTACAATATAGCTACCAGATAAGATATGTTAATTTTATTTTACAAATATCTTTTGACTTTTCACTTTAAGGAACCATGACAGAGTAGAAAGAATCCCCCTGATGTCTGAGGACATCTTACTTCAGAAGCAGATACTTTGCTATCGTATAATCATCTAACTTATACCATTAGAAATAAACAGGTTTGTAACACTCAGATGATCACTCCTGATTATTCTGATGAAACAAGAATCAGTAAGCTGTGTTGTTGAAATTGTTGCCCTCCTTGTTAATAAGAGCTTAATTATGTGCTATTTCATGTAGATAAAATAATTACTGTTGACAAATTTTCAAGCACACCTGACTGTGTTATTGACTTTTTTTTACTCTTTCAGACTCTTTGGTGAAAAATCTTATCACAGGGACATCAAAGTAGTACCCTGTTGGGTTTTTGACAAGTATTACTGCCATGGAGCTGATGATTTCACCAGGGGGTTGTGCATGTGTACATGTGAGCCATTTGTTTAAATGCTGTCCTGCTGATTAACAGCAGCAGCAACATACAAACAACAGCAGGAACGCACCAGCAAGGGCAGTGAAGAAGAAGAAGAAGAAGAAGAAGAAGAAGAAGAAGAAGAAGAAGAAGGAGCAGACTGCTGGCACGTAAACAAGAACATAAAAAAAATGGTTTCAATTATTGAAAGGCTTTACAGTTGTTTTATGAGGAAACAAATGCATACAACATATTTTTAAACCTCATCATGTGTTGACATTGCTTGCTGGCAAAGAAACTCCAGAGGGCACATTTAAAACCGCCTTGAGATCTATAACATTTATTTAATGACATCAGTGTTATTGTTATTGTCTTGCTTTCATTTTCCCACAGCAAAAGCTCTTGAGCTCTGCAGCTGATTCTGACATGTTCAGCAGTAAATCTGCCTCTCTGGCCTCCATTGCTGCCACTAAATAAAATATGACTACACATTTTATAGACTGTCTTTCATGTGGCTAAGGTCAGTGCAGAACCCCCATCCCATTAGTAGTGGATATCAGATGAAATTTATAGGTCCTATATTGTATAAAGCAAGATGTCCATGACTTCTTCGGAGGAGTATAGGCTCTATGTTAATACTATGAAAGTATCAAAGTGCCTGTCCTCAGAGAAATGCACACAGCCTGTACTGTAACTCTGCGATGTCACAACAAAGCAGTCCCCATCCTCAACAATGTCCCAAGCCCCACCCACCTGGACCCACCATCCAACCTTTCAGGATTTGATTCATCTGAGTGTTTACCTGAAATATGCTATAATAAAAATAAAAAATAAAAAACAGCCAGTCAATCAGAAAAGAGGCCCATAAGCTTGTTTCTGATTGGCTCACTCGTTGTTATGAGAGGCCCAGAGAGAATCCTGAGAGAGGAGATGTAAAACTACTCTTGGGTGTTTTTTGGTTCTTAAAACCACAATTTATCTTTTTATGGATCAAAGCTTCAAATAAAACACAGAAAAAGTGTAAAATATGGAACTTTAAAATTTTGATAAGCCTGCCCACTTTGACTGGAGCCTTTTGATGAAAATCCTTGTGGGTCTGTTTGTCATGAGTACTGCTGCTCTTACCTTCTCAAAACCCTGTCTGTATCAAATCAGCAATGAGAAACAAGAATTTGCCGTACACATGAAAAGTTGCTCAGCAGCACTTTTAGGTTAACATGTATCTTGTCAAACTATCGGCCAGCCACACACACACACACAAACTCAAACACACTTACCTGGCATGCCTAGTCTTCTCTTCACAGTTGGTTTCACTTCACTTTAGTGCTATGCCAGCATGAAGACACACACACACACACACACACACACACACCCTTGAATGAGCCAAACTGGCAAGCCTCGTTGGAGATAGACAGCACTTCGGTTGTTAAACAGGCAGTGAGAACACTCATGCATGACTGCGTTCTCATTGCAGCAAATCCAAAGCATCATTTCTTACTAGCATTACATTATGTGATTTAGTCAAACTACTTGCAACTCAGGAGGCTGTGAGTAGTGTGTGTGTGTGTACATGTGTGTGAGAGAGAGTAAATCTGGCACCCCTACATGGATCTTGGCCATGTACAGTCTTTGGATGGTCTTACATTTTTGAGAAATTTTATTTTTCATCACATTTGTCTTCAATCCTAAAATTGACACCATAAAGATGGACAGGGGACATTGCAAGAACAAAGGTTGGAATTTAAAACTATTTCAGCGCCAGTATGCTAATTCATTTTAAATTATATTCAAATGACTTTCATAGTTCAGCACTTGGAGTGACAAAGTTTTGCCAGGGGCTCTGAAAAAGGAAACCGGTGTCTGGACTTTCCCGTTGAGAGAAGAGAGATTGGAGAAGAGAGAAATGGACTGAGAGAGCAGAGGGAACGGGGGTTAGGAGAGGTCAAGAGGGTGGGGAAATAAGGGGAAGAACAATAGGAGCAAGGAAAATAAAATAAAGACGAGGAACAGAAGACAGTGGAGACATGGGATGTTGTTTAGCCCACTAAGCTTCTGAGATGTCCCATAGGTTTAGTTCTGTTTTATTTTGATTTGATCCGTGACAGCAGGACAGATCAGTGGCAAAACAGCCATGGCACTGTTGGGTGCCTGCTGTGGAAGTATGTGCTCACCTGCACATAACTGAAAAATCAATCGCTGCTCATGCACTGCATTGCATTTGCTTGTGTGAAAGGCTCTGAGTTCAGGCGGGTGTTGTGTTGTTTAGAGAGGTTTTCAGACAAGACGTGCCTTCCTTTCAGAGGAAAACTTGGAGCACGGTCCGACCAACTTCAGATACTGACAGGGCAGCCTGTTCTTCTAAAAGAGAAAAGAAAAAAAAAGCCTATTGAATTTAATGACTGTTGCTTTGGCAGACAAAATGATTGCCCCTATCTTTTCAGAGCTGTGAAATTCTTACCCATTACATTGTGTACTTCTGCGTTGTGTTTTTGCCATCTGATTCATCTTCAAATTCACGGATCTGTTGATCAGATTTTACTTCCTGGGACCCATTTCACCAAATTTGCACCATGCAGGCTGTGATTTGCTGCTTGAAATCACCCCTTTATGTATCTGACAGGTTTCACTAATCAAAGCAAACACCGTACTCACAGTCTGTCAGGAAGTGACTGCAATTTGTTTTTGTGAAATGGGATGAGAATGCCTTGTAAAGCTACTGCTGCTGCTGGTACCACTTTGACTAATGTTTCTAGGCACCACTACCACAACGGTTACCTATACTATAACCAATTAATTCAGAGAGGGATACCATCAAAGTGATTGGATTTATTCCAAGTTTGATGCAATTATGTACATTGTTAAATGGATAGCTGGTGAAGAAACCAATGATATCTCCTGTCAAACAGAAGTGAAGAATTGCACTTCCCCATGCTTTCAGTTAAATCCCAAATGTTTGATTATCATTGCTCTCTTGAAAAAAAAAAAAAAAAAAAAAAAACACTCACAGCTTGTTTGTTTTTCTCTAAACCAGCCACAATCGTGCTGGGCAGCGCTTATCCCTGGAGGCAGCGACAGAGCCCCTGCATCAGAGTGGCAGGGGAACTTGTTTTGGTGGAACATTCACATGTGGGGAGGTGAACACTGTCATTAATTGTATTAACTGAAATAGCTCAGTTGGGAGAACATTAGACTGACGATCTGCTTGGCAGCTTGTGACCTACCCAGCAAGAGACTCTTTGCAGACATGGCAAATGTCACAGCTGTGTTCCATGCATTTTATAGGGACAGAGAGACTCCCATATGGCTGCAAATGCTCTAATAAGTGCCTCCATGACAACCACCACAGCGCGCACACCACGGCCTCCCTAACTCTTCTTTCCATGCTGAAATAACTCAGTTGGGAGAACGTTGGACTGAAGATCTGATGGTCCCTGATTGAATCTGAGGTTTCCGGAGCTGATTGGTTCGTAGCCCTGATGGTGAGAGCTGCTGATTTATGTTAGTAACAGGAGCTCCAATGGACATGGTGGACCTCAGTTGCAATTCACTGTAGTATGCTCTCATATCAAAAATATAAAAAGAGAGAAATAAGCCTTTATGATCAAAGTGTTTACATAGCCTGAGAGATACCTGACCCCATGGTCATTCATTACAGCACATCTCCGCTGCATGTCAAGTGCTTGGTTAAAATTCTGGTTCTACAATTATGCACAACTTGGCCTCCAGAGTTGCATTCAGGTAACATGAAATAGCTCAGTTGGGAGACCGTTAGACTGAAGATCGATCTCTGGTTTGATCCTGGGTTTTGGCAAAGAGACACATTTCCAGAAAATCTGGATTTGTAGACTTGCCTCTCTCTGTAACTCTTACCTGTTCAGACTGCAGAGGACTACTTCTCATTACTTAAAAGGGTCTAGAGGTGAAGTGTTTCTGATTTCTCAGCCTCAATGAATGCCTCTATACTAAAGTAGCTCAGTCTGGAGAGCGTTAGACTGAACATCTAAGTGTCCCTAGTTCTATCCCGGGTTTCATCTGTTTATGTGTTCAAGCATTGTTATGTTGATGGGTAGAGGAAAAATGGTGGACCAGAGCTGCAAAGCACTGTTTACTGCTGCTATATCAACATATAAAATACCTGACACAGTACCCACAGGAATTCATTACAGCGCATCACTGCTTCTTCTGTGGTTACAATAAAGAACATGTAGGATCCATGGATTAATGCAAATAGTCTGCATGTTAGTCTCAGGTGTCAGACTTAGTCTGTGCTTGGTTAAATCCACACAGAATAAAAAGAATATTGACTTTTATGCATGCAAAATATTCACCATAGAGTTTTGCCATTTTACACATTTTGGCCTCCAAACCGCTGCTCAGGTGTGCCAAAGTAGCTCAGTAGGGACAACATTAGACTGGTAGACTGATATTTAGCCTCTGGATCCATTTCCTGTTCCTTCAGACTTCTGTCTGCCTGTCACCTCCAATCTATCAACTTGTGATATTAATGCTTCATAGTCAGTGAAAGAGGATGGAAAGGTTTGATATATGTCTTTATATGTCAGTCTTTTTGTCCCTGTCTTTTTCATTGTGTGCAGAAATCTGGTGGATTGAAATGCAGAATCAGCAGTGGTGGGGGTATGTCCCTCAAATGCACTCAGTGTTCCCGAAATAGGTGTTTTGCACTACCAAATATTGTGTCCTATGTATGAAGCCTGGAAGAGCATATAGGCCCTGTCTCTTCCTTGCACTCCCCGTGGCAGAGGACCTCTTTTCGTGACTTTGAAGGAATTGGATCCTCAGAAAAGTTATTGAGTTTCTGACCTGTCAGCTTCTCCAACTATGCTGAAATAGCTCAGTTGCAAGAGCATCCTTAGTTCAATCTTTTGTTTTAGCAGGTGATGGCCTGTCTTTGCTTCTAGTGTTAGTGGGAGCTGCTGCTTTCTGCTAATCGCAAAAGTTCTAATGGACTTGGTTTATCTGAGCTGCAAACAGAGCAACGCTCCCATATCAACAATATAAAGAAAGAAAACAGCATGTACAGTACCAAACACAGTTCCCCCCTAGAATTCATTATAAATATTGCTACTTCTTCTGTGGCTACAACAAAGAACAAACAAAGACAGTGGAAAGACGGGAACGATGAAGATAATTGAAATAGGTAACTCCTCACATAGGAAAATGCCACAAAAACAGGAAATGCATGTCTACTGTGTGATGCATGGTCCATAAAATGATGAAATTTTCATTCCATTTTCAGCAACATTGCAGCTTGCAGGTTGTTATTGTTCCATGTGGTAAAAAGGGGATTTTGAAAATAGTAACAAACAGAGGAAAAGAAAAGGAAGGTGAATGGCATCTAGAACACGTGAGCAGTGGTGGCAGCTTTCTGTGTTCAGTCTGTCCCTGCCATGTGGCCAAGTAGCTAATACTTGCTAGTCAATACAAGTTGAATATGTCAGTGAATTAGTGATCACACATCACATTATGCAATAACTAAAATACTGATGACAATATTTTCTAAATTTCTACATTTTGGCTGAAAAGGAAAGAAGAAAGAGAGGAAGTCTGTAAAACCTCCCCTAGCTCAAACTACTACTACTACTACAATGAGTGCTGCTATTAGAGTAGTGTTGGTGAGAAGTTCACAGTCTATTTTTACACAGACTCTGTGAAGCAAAGAATGGCTTGAGGTTTTCAGGCTTGGATAAACTCTCTGCCTGAAACAAACAATGGACAACAGCATTGTGTAAAATTCATGAAAAGTCTAAAATGCACACGACACTGCACACTAGAAAGGTCAGTAAGAGACATCCAGTCACTGAAAGCCTGTTGGCTGATGGAATTGAGTTTAGCTCCATGGACCACTCACCTTCAGATACAGATATGCTTGGATGGATCAGTGGAGCAACTTTAGAGTTTCTGAATTTACTACATATGTCAGACCTCTGATCTACACCTGTGGTTTGTGTCTTCTTCATAACAATGGCAGGTAGAACTTGTGGGCACATAGTGGTTCATAGTTTGTGTTGACAATAAAACATAATTTCCAAGAAATTAATCCAAAGCTGCAAGATCCACTACCAAACACAAGCTGTTGCACTACTATTATTTGTAATGTATTCTGGCTCCTTCAATGACTAGTAGCACTTTTCCATTGAAACAACAGAGTGCAGGAATGGGTGTAATGAGTGTGGCTTCCTCTACCATCACTGGGTCCCTTAAACACTTTTAGAAACTACTCTCTCTTAGAAAAAAGTTAAGTGGTGGTGACATTAAAGTTATGCGAGTGTGGTGTTGATTTGTGAAGATTATCCTGCTGTGTAAGTATCTCAAGCATTTGTTGGTCACAGAGCTTATTTTCTACAGTTATCTAAAAGACAATGGGAAAACCCCACTGACAAATGTGAATGGGATGATGCCAAAGTCCTCTGGCATTACTCTTTGAACTTATCACATCATTCTATGTTATATCACTAATACACTCGTGTTTTTAGCCCTTCTCAACTGTTTACAATGAAATAAGAAATGTTAACACACAAGAGTTTTGAGATCAGGCTCAAAACTAAATCCACCAGAATTTATGTGCTGCAGAAAATTTGGCTCTTGCATTCTGTTCATGGGCTGAGCTGTGCTTGTTAGCCCAAAGACAGTGGATACCTGCCAGGCAGAGCTGGAATATAGGACAAGTCCCTGGCCCAAATGCTGCCGGGAGGTATGTGTGAGGATGAATTAAATCTGCTGAGTTCACACTAGGCTCTCTTGGAAGGAGGTTTGTGGGAAAGTGTTGCACCAAAATCTTTGAGTCATGGAGTTGTACAGAAGTCTAGATAACACCTAATGAGCAAACCCTTCCCACATTTGCATTTGAGGCATTTAGCCCACGTTCTTATCCGGAACTGCAGAGTGATCCTGATCAAAAATGCATTTCTGATGCTGCTGATACATCATGGCCTCATAACATTAAGACTGAATCACACACAGTTAGGATTTGAGATATATATAGATATATATGTAAAAATCCACAATTATGTTCAAACTGTGCCATTTAAAAGCGAGCCTGCCTCCATGTGATTTGAATTCATTAGTCTTGCCCCCAAAGAAGGGGTTCATTTTTTTCCATGGAAAATTACATGTGTCATTCCTTTGTGGTTAGTCATTAACTGACCATTCACTAAACTCTGCCCTACTTTACTGCTGCTACTTGTCATTTTACAGTAATAACAGTAGTTATGAAAGTTCTTGATTTGAGAAGAAGTAGAAAAGCAGCTTGGCAACTGGGTTTATTCAGCTGTAGCTTCTCACCTGACAATAACTCCAGCTGAGTTTTTATGTAAACCAAAGCTGAGATAATTAAAAGAGGCATTTGATTACCTCATATGTAGCTAACGCTGTGTGCCGAATATTGCCTGTGTAATTACTGTGTAATGATGATGCACAGTATAATTAGCATTCCTATGCAAAGAGATTAGCATGGTTCTTGTATTGTCATTAATTTCTTTTGTTATATGAGCTTGAAAACCAAGTTGTGCTGCAACATGCTGAATGTACTATACAATGCGCTATGTGTGTGTGTGTGTGTTATCTTGTCCTGAAAAGATTTCTATGCACAACACCACAACACCACAGTGCAGCAAACAAAACCTACATGACCGCTGTGTCCAAAAACATGTTGGTTGAATGTGAAGCAGCAGTGGATGAGACAAAGACACTGTAGCAGCTCTCCACCCGTGCTGTCCTAGTGGAGCTGGTTTTTAAGATCCTCAAGCAATTAGTGCAGAGGACAGAGCCAGCTGAGCCATTGATTACTGTTATTTATAAACCTGACAGCACCCTGAAGTGAAGACAAAATCTGCCCTCTCCATCTTTTCATCCCTTCCTCTCTTCATTCCAGACCCCCTTCCCGCATCTGCTCACCTTTCCTCCCCTCTCCTCACTCTCCTCCATTCTTCTCCGCGCTCTCAGTAGATTTCAACGTCTGTCACGTCTGCTTTCCCCACTCTCTCTCTTCCCGCTCTCCTTTCCTGTCGGATCACTCACATACCTTGCTTTTACTATTTTTGAAAGAAAAGAAAGGAGAAGGGTGAGAGGTAAGCTGAGCATTAGAATTCCCTCATACACAAAGAAAAATGTATTTCTGTATGACAAACCAATACTCCCACAGGTCTGGCCTTGGGCCTCGCAGCAGACTGGGAATAGCATGAGACAAAGCAGCAAACAACAACCGCTCCTTAGACAGGCCAGGACATTCTTAGGAGATTGTCTTGCATGCAGGTATGCCTGGATGAGTGTCACAGAGTGAGAATGCAGACATGTAACCTATTCCCAGGCCCTAGAGCCAGCAGGCCGGCAACAATGGGGGCATTATGGTCAGGCCCTGGCTCTCGCTCTGTGCAGCCTAGAGGGTCTACTTTTGGAGGCTGAGAAGGTGTGCTGCAGATGTGTTGGGAAGTGCAGGTGGAGATGTTGATGTGAATGTGTAGGTCAGCGGGAGTGTGTGAGGCTGAGAAGATGAAAGAGGCACAAAGCATGTGCAGAATTTCAAAACAGGATAAAAGTAGTAGTGCACAATTTTCTACAGTGAAATGATGGAAAAAAGAGAAACAATAAAGAAACTGACCACAAAATGAAACTCTGGGATCACCCAAATGTAGTTAAAGAATCTGATTGAATTCGATTGCTTTCTTGAAAAAAACAAAAAAAAAAAACACATGCTGTCATTACTCTCTCTCTTTCTTTCCAACCTGTGCATGGCTCAGTGCCAGTCTGTTCATCCCAGTTTCAGATAGAATTTTAAAAGATGGGTCAAGGCTGGGTAAGGTAAGCTGGGCACACGTTTTCAGCAAACATTACTCAGATAGGATGCATTTGTTGAAGATCACATTCAGTTTGTAGGAACAGGTCAATGTACTTGAACTCGAATACTATTTCTATTTTATAAACCATCATGTGAATGATGCAGTCATTTTCTAAAACTTTCAGACATTCAGAAGTAAGAGTTTTAAAAATTTAATCAACAAGAAACTAGAATTTCTAG